CGACTAGTTTCAACTTTTCAAGTCACAACGGGACTCTTACTTATGAGCTGCGTACTCATAACGGCGACGTCCACCTCCAAGCTCCGACAGTGAATTAAAACGAGTAGATTTTTTGTCAGTTCATTCATGTAAGTAAATCGTTATTTAAATTAAATTTTGTGTTTCTTGGTATAAACGCGCCATTCTCAACAACTACTATTTCAAATTGAACAAGTATTTTGTTCTAGCTAGACTATTTATCGAAGAAGGCTATGTAACGACCAATAGGCGTCGAGAAGCTATTGAAAATATGGAACTTGCTAGTAAGAAAATATACAGATAGATAGGGCATTAAAACTGACCGTTTGATTATCATGTCTAGGTAGGTAGGTTCTGTAAGACGTTTATTATCTCGAGAAAAAACTTGTTAAAGACTGTTTTATTACCTAGATATTAGCACCGCACATCCCATGGTGTTTATAAATCTCCCCGGTTTTAAATGGAAGTTTTAATTTCATAAACTGGTAACATTATAGTAATGAAATGACGTTTGAAATGTCATTGTGTTTTGTTGTTACGCAAACCGGTACCAACCGGTACCTATTCTATTGTTTATTTTTTTGGGATATGAAGCCCCAAAGGGCTGTGAGTGAGGAAACAAGCAGGGGGCTAACCATGAAGTTCAAAGTAAAATTGTTTTAATATTACTTCAGTGTGGGTAAGAGACAGAGCTAGACAACTTGTATAGCTTTCTCTTACCCACACAGATGCATGATTGGATATAATCGATTAGTGGTCATGGACATCCAAAACGCCAGAGGATTTACAAGTGCGTTCTCAGCTATTTTGACAGGCCTCCGGTAATATGGGAGACCCAAGCACGCACGAATGGGTCGGCTCGACCGGAACGATACCACGGCCTCACAGAAAAATTGCGTAAAACAACCACAGTGTTTTGTTTCGGCGTGTGATTAAGGATACCGAAGGCCCGATACTTTCCCTCCGCCAATCCCTAAATCTCCAAAACCCTAATCCCCAAAAGGCCTGTAGCGTACTTGTAACTCTTGTGATGTTGTGAGTGTCCATGGGCGACGCCGACGCGAGTACAGTGCAGCCGACGTATCTTGGCGAGTCTGAAGTTAGCCGATTAGCTGCGCAGTATACGATTTTGTTCCTAAAAGATCCATTGCGCAAACTGCTAACTTCAGACTCAATGATACGTCGGCCGCACTGCATTTCGTCCGCTCGTTTGCCGATCAATCACATTACAGTGCGGCGTCCTACCTACTCATACATGATATTCACAATAAAATTGTTCTAAAAACAATGTATTTACAATTGACATCAATCCAATCGTTCTTCAGTACCTAATATCAAAGATTTTTTATGCGACAAATAAAAATTTAATGCGTAAAAGCTTAGTTGTGGAAATTAAAGAAGGAATGTCGAAAAAACGCGACTATACCGGAATCCAAGTTCATACACATGGTATAAGTTCCAGTCCTGGGAGCAACAATTAAAAAGTACCTACCTAATTAATATCATATGTAGTTACCTAAAAAGACAGTAGGTATTCATAATCTTAAATTTTCAACAAAAACGTTAGCCGCCATGACACTGCAATTTTGACGTCACCGCTTATGTCAATATTGATACATTTTTAAACGCGTGATAAGTACTCTACTATTATTTAAATATCAACTTTACTGTTGTATTTCTAAGGCATTATTCTATTTGTCGCATAAAAATTCTTAACCAAGTCTTGCCATTTATAAATGACACTATCTTTCTTCTCCATAGTGACAATAGAGTATTCTAGAAAATCTGATAAACACCCTTTTAGAAAAACACATTGTTCCAAGGACATGGGAATATCAACTCTACAGACATATAAATAAGGTTAACTATTACCGAACCGTGAACATTTTCTCTATTGTTTTTTTTTGCCTAGTCCACCCTCTTTGTTGATTTTACTAAACTATTGTTACAACACACATTTTTAATTCATAACAACGAGATTTTGAACAACAAATTGTATACATCAAATTACGTATTGTGATGAAAATGATTTGTCAAAAGACCGTCTCATTGGTCTTTTGGAAATACCAAGAAAATTTCTATATGATAAGGGGTGTAAAAACAATAATATCGTTATTTTAATAAAATTTTAAGGTCTCATGCTTAGTAGACCAAAAGACCAATGAGAATAGCTGATACATCAATCAGATTTAAGTCTCATACTGAGGTATACTTAAAAACCAGTGATAGAGTCACTATATCAACCGAATTTATGGAAAAAGGATCAGTAAGACTACATTGATTTTGAATCCACAAGAAGACCGAATGGTCTTTTAAGAAAGTAACCGTCTTATCATAAAAAGACTAAGAGTTAATGTTATACGATGAAGAACTTGGTATATGTGGAAATGCAACTTAACATAAAGAATGCAAAAGTAAGCATGTTTGTTACGCTTTAACTTCTTTGGTATTTTATTAATGTTGCTGCTTAAAGACCAAGGTTAAAACCAACCAAGGAAGGCTTTTCATGCATAAAATGAATGAGAGAAGATTGGAAGAAAAATTGAAAGTATTATTAATGTATTCTTAACGGTTTTTAACGCTTTAGCGTTGGTAATATCCAGAGATTTTTTGAGGTTATCAAGCCCGTAACAACCTTCCAAAACTTTTGTAAGCCAAGGTCTACAGAAGATACAGTATCTATACTATAATGTTATGAAGCTGAAGATTTCTTTTTGTTTGTTTGAACGCGCTAATCATTGGAACTACTTCTTCGAATTGAACTAATTCTTTTTGTGTTGGATAGTCCATTTATAGAGGAAGGCTATGCCTAGACTTTAAAACATCACGCTGCGATCAAATAGAGCCGTACAGCGGGTGAAACAGCGCGAGAGTAGCTAGTTTGAGATAATCAGTCAAATTCCACACATATGTCTGTCGATATATCGAGTCATTCCGGATTTGTAGGTAGTTCAACAAACATTGCAACTTCTACATTCATAATATTAGCAAAACCACGCCATAATTTGCCCTAAAAGTCTTTTTACAATAAAAACGGTCTTTCCGCACCAAATCACCTCCAATTTCCTAAGGGATGCCTTGCAGAAATTCCTCGATGCACTCGGCCTGGTCTTCTTCTATCCCTATTAGGACCAGTTGGTTCTTGGAGACCATGAACAGAGACTCCCCATCTATCTCATTGTCAGACAAAATCGATGCTGTGTCTGACCAACCGAATTTGAGGAGATGACTTGATAGCTCTGCTGCCTGAAATGGAAAAGATGGTTGATTTACATGAAGTTGTATGAAATAAAGATTCTCCCGTTCTGGGTGGGGTAAGAGGGAGTGTCAGACACTTACTGACTAAATCATCATCATCATCATCATCAGCCTATAAGTGCTCACTGCTGAGCAAAGGTCTCTTCTCAAACGGAGAAGGTTAGAGCATTGATCACCACGCTTGCTTAATGCGGGTTGGCGACTTCCAACTTATAATTAGAAATTATAGAAAGAACATATAACTCGGAAAAAGTCTCATAGGTACTTGTCAGGTTTCGAATCCACGCCCTCTTACATGAGAAGCGGGCTCCTTAACCTGCAAACCACCTCGACATACCTATGCATCCTCAACCACTGGTATCATTAAGGCTTAGAAAATACTTTATTGTAAGGACGGAAAATCATCAAACCTCTTCTCCCGTCCTGAGTAAGGTTTAAAGGAGTTTCATACTCTTACTGACTTAAAATCACTCCTTTTCTTACCCAGAGCTTTGGCACCTATCGCCAGTCTACCAAAGAACCCATCAGAACATCTGGTTGCTAATAACCTGCACTGATTGCTTACCATCAGATAATCCGTCTGTTCGCTGCTCGTTTCTCGAACTACTTCTATACTAATATTATAGAGAGGTAAAATTTGTAAGTTTATGTAGGGGGTAATCTTTGGAACCGCTGGTCGGATTTCCAAAATTCTTTTACTGATAGATAGCTACTGAAACCGCGGGACAGTAGCTAGTATCACATAAAAAAAACATCTTTCACTTTGACTCTTTTTCCGTATTTCTGTTGTTCTCAGAGTTTGTCTTTACAGGCAGATCCTGGAATCCTCCGACCTCTGATAACCTCACTTCTCACGATAGTATAATACTAGTGGTAAAATAAAAAGTTACTCTAGTCACATTGAAATAAGTAGACTTACCGTCCAACTTCTAACAAGAGAATGCTGTAGTCTTCTGAATGGATTCAAATTCTCGTTTTCGTCTTCTATTTCATCTTTGATATCTTCTGTAGTAGACTCGGTGCTGGTCTTTTCCGGCACTGTGCTGATCTTCGGGAAAGATTTGCGGATCTGAAATTAAAAATTATTTTATTAGTAAAGTGTTCTTCAAGGATGTTCGAGGGGTTTCAAGCTACACCGGGACCCACAACTGAGCACAACCCAATGAAACTATCGATCGATCTGCAGCCGCTGTCGCCTGTCAGTCTATACTTTAGCAGTGGCCTGATACAATATTTAGCTAAGTGCGGATGAGCCCTGCTTCGGTACTAATGGGCCGGCTCGACCGAATTAATTCCACGACCTCGCAGGGAATCGATGTAAAACAACACAAACATGTTTCGCCGTGAGATTATGGTTCTAGGATTCGTTCCCCCATCCCCAAAGCCCTAGCAACGTACAAAAAGCGTACAACGTACTTAAGAATCCTTCGTGTTGCAGATGTCTAGATCGTCGCCAATTTTTTTACCATCAGCCATTGTAACAAGAAAAATATAAATTAAACAGATACTAACATTCAGACTTACTGGGAAAGGATGATTCGATTCCTGAACAATGAATCCGTCAATGACATGCGTCAGAACATATTTCTTCGCCCCAACTTCTCCTTCATTCTCTTTCTTAGAATCATCAGTCGTTTGTCCACTACTGGTTCCCGGTAAAGGATCATTAATTTCTTGCTTCGCAGCTACGGTGAAATCATAATCATTAACAACTGTATCATTGTTTATCGTTGATTCCAAATTTTGCGCAGCTATTATTTCTCTTTCACCAATGTCGATTGTTTCATTAGCTTTTATTTTGTTAACTTTTTTATTGCTATAAGCTCTTTCGTTATTATTTGTTTCAATATTTTCTTCTACATTTGATGTTCTATCTTCATTGATATTAGCATCATCTGTGTTATATTTATCTAATAATAGACGTCTCAAATTAACGTAAGCTTCTTTGAAAACTATTTCTGATGCATTGTCATTTCCTTTAATAGTTATTTTATTATGAGCACTTTCTTTGTAGTTTCCAGTGTTAATTTCTATGATTACTTTTCCAGGTTCCTCAAGTTTTGTTTCGTTACTGTTAGACGCTGTATTTTCATATACATTTAATGGTTCATCGTTAAATTCATTGCTATTGTTATAACAATTATTATTATTTGCTGGCACTATATAGTTCTGTAGCAAAAGTCGCTTCAAATTTACATAAGCGTCTTTACACACAGGTTTTTCTTCTGTAAAGTGATCGTGTTCGGTAATTTTATCATTTGCCTCGACCTTATTCTGGTTGCCATCGTTATTTTCTTGAATCTCCGTCACAATAACATCATTCCTTTCCAAGCGTTCGATAACCTTTTTCAGTTTTTCAATATTACTCTCAGCTGTTGCTATGTCTTTATCAAAATTTTCTCCTTGTTGTATATTTCTATTACCTGAATTCTGTGTGGCTGCTTTTTGAGTGATTTTGTGTCTTATTGTACTTTGCTTAAGTCTATAGTTGTATGTTTTTGGAATCTGTACATGTATATCTGCATAAATATTAGTATCTATATCTCTATTTAATATATCAACTGTCGAAGAATTCCTCGTATTCTTTGGATTAATCAAACCAAAACCAAATTCTGGTTTACTAAAAGCATTGATGTATCTTTTATCTTTCACAAATCGATTATAAAACGAACGATTACCGGCTCTCGATTGTTTTAAGACAGATTTTCTAGAGTATCTATTGTAATATGAACGATTGTTGACTCGATTGTGAGAGGAACGATTGTTAGTATGTACTCGGATGAAATTCGATTTTATTTCCCAATCGTAATCGATTAGGATCGATTCCTCCCGATTATCTGATGATCAGCTTCTGACGAATGCGCAGATAACGTCTGCATTTTCCTCCGTAACTCCTATACTGACTAGTTGGTTCTTTGAAACTAAGAATAAAGATTCTCCATCGATTTCATGGTCTTGGAATACTGATACAGTCTCCTTCCAATCGAATTTCATTAGGTGGCTTGAGAGATCTTCCACCTGTGGAATTTGAGAAAGAAAAATTAAACTGATTAATCCTTGCAGTCCAGGTCGCTCAAGTAAGGTCAAAAATTGTTTCAAATTGAAGTTTAAAACATTAAATTCTAACAATGCTTGGTTCAATGCAGAACTAGAAATCGTTATTTCCGTTCGCTCCCCTTTTATGATATGAATAGAATAGATAAGTGTGGGAGAGCCAAGCTTCGTCACGAATGGGTCGGCTCGACCGGAGTGATACCACGGCCTCACAGAATACCGGCGTGAAACAACCCACAGCGTTGTGTTTCGCCCTGTGAGTGAGGTTACCGGAGGCCCAATCCCTCCCCTTCCCCTATCCCTTCCCAATCCTTATATCCGCAACCCCCATCCCCAAAAGGCCGGCAACGCACTCGTAACTCCTTTGGTGTTGCGGGTGTCCATGGGCGGCGCCGATTGCTTACCATCAGGTAATCCGTATGCTAGTTTGCCTACTTATACCATTAAAAAAAATAGCGCCTGCGATTTCAAAATTGTTGATTTTGATAAGTTTGGCAAGTAATATACTAATACAATTCTATTACGAAGCCGCTGACAACCCAATGATTAGCCATTATGAATTACCAGATTACGAACTTTTAGCAAAATGGCAATGGAATCGTGTTGGAATGATGTTCTGAAAATAGCAGACTTGGGCCCCAGAATTATGTACATCAGAAACAGTACAAACACTGCGTTATACAGGTTTTAGACTAAATCTAATATTTTCTGATCAACTTTGGAATCGGATTCAAGTCTTCACAGTCCATTTTTACTAAGCCTAATAAAATAGCCATACAGAACCAAAATCTTTAATAAAGAAGAATTTTATAATAAACTTACCGTCCAAGACTTAACCGTGTTATGCTGTAAATCAGCAAACGGGTTCGTCTGCTTGACATCCTCTTTATCCTCTTCTTCTTTCTTCTTCTCGCAATGGAGAAGGAGATAGTGGAACGGTAACAATTGTCCGTCAACTTCAGGATTCTTCATCTCTTCTTTCATACATTCTTTCAAGGCATCCGTTGCTTCACTTTCAGCTTTTAGATTAGCGTGTAGAGTTTTCTCGATGAGAGGTTTTCTTATCTGTAATATTAGTTTAACAATATATATATATTACAAGCAGCCCATCTCGGATTTGCACGGGTTTTGTTATTAAAGATTTAGGAAGGACCATTAATGTTTTCTAGAAATAAATCGAATCTAATATTATAAATGCGAAAGTAACTGTCTGTCTGTCTGTCTGTCTGTTTTTTCTTTACGCCTAAACTACTCACCCGATTTCTGTCAAATTTACATAGGATATATAACATAGGATAGTTTTTTAACCAAAAATCTGCAGAAAGTCACTATTTCACACGAACAAAGTCGCGGGCAAAAGCTAGTTACAAAATTACAAATATGCACACAAAAATGATATTTTTCCTCTTTAAAATAATTTATTGCGAATGCAAGCGGTAATCCTTTTAAAATCATTGTATACGGGCACTCCAATTATAGATTACACAGAGAGTTATTTTTGACCAATACGTGAGACAATTCGAGAAAAAGAAAGAGAAAAAAACACGCCAGAAGATATTCGTATTTACAAGCATTTGTATGGAAATAAAAAATGCTTTCAATAGCTTTGCTTGCAGTCCAAGGCTTAAAATAACCGCCGATATCTTTAATAAGTTTTGTGCTAATAACAGATCTAAATTTTACTTGGTAATACGTATGATTAATATTCGTAAAACTATTAAGTTCATTCGTTGTTCGCTTTCACTCTCTCCTCTATCTCTAACTCTTTCATTCTCCAATAAAATAAGTTCTAAACTTACCGGAAAAGCGAAATTCGATTCTTGAATAACATAACCATCAACTACATGAGTCAGTATATCTTGTTTCTGTGGATATCTTTCAGGAATGTCCATCTTCTCATCCTTAATTTCAGTTATTTGATCTTTCGATTCATCTATAACTAACTTTCCTTCCTGAATATCAGGACTCTTATTTTCTTCCTCTCTCTTAACAATATCTTTCGAAATATCATTTTTAACTTCACTAACTTTCTTTTCTGTAGTAATATTTACATCAACTTTTTGAGTTTCAGTCATTGGTATGCTCACAGCTTTTTCAGGCTGAACCTTTTCAACTGGCGGTTCAGTCATTACCGCATCTTTATCAGTCTGTACCTCATTATCAGTCCTTATTTCAGTCGCATTTTGAACACTTTCTGGTGTTTTATTTTCTACAATTTGTTGTACTGGTAAAGTATCGTTAATTTTGTCTTGTAAAACTCTACCTCGAGCTTGAGTGAACACTGTGTTTCTAATAAGTTTATCGCTCTCAGTTACAGGAGCTATCACAGTCCTTGTATCATTTATAGTTTTCTTATTAGCGTCTGACGTTTCTGGTGCTTCTACCACCATCATCTGTGGGGCGGGTGCCATTTGAACAACAGTACTATTTACTTTAACATTATTTGCATTAGTTTTACTATGCTGAGGACTTGTGTTCGTACCTATTTCATTAGATATCTTAGTGATAGTAATACCCTGTTGTACATTCTTGTATATTGGTTTAGGTGGAGGTGGCGGTGCCATTTTATTTTCTATTTCATCTGGAGATTCGCTTTTTCTTTTTCTACTAATATTTGGATTATTTAAGAAGTTCGTATTAGCCGCTATATTTGTTACTACTGTGTGACTGTTTACTTTCTCCTGGTTATACTGTGTTGGTGGTGGCGGTGGCTGTACCGGTATGTGGAGCGGTTGTTGTACTGGTATATTTGGTTGTGGTTGCATTTTAGGTACATTTGGGCTCTCGAACCTACGTCTCGGCTGTATAGGTCGGCAGTTGTAGTTTTGAGCAAAATTTCTTACGGCAGGCTGTGCTGTGCCAGCGTTATTCATCACTTTGTTTGCTTCTGACGGTGGCTGCGGAGGTTTCATGCCAATATTTTGTACGTTTTGTAGATTTTGAACATTTTGAATATTTTGAACATTTTGTACATTTTGCACATTTTGTATAGTTTGTACATTTTGCAAATTCATCACATTGTTACCACCCATAATCTGTGGCCTAACGGGATTCACGTTTTGCGCCATTCTTGGCCCAATGTTTTGCACAAACGTTTGGCCAGCATTCGCTTGTTGTATCTGTAGGTTTTGCATGTTGGCCATGGCTTGCATGTTCTGTATCTGGTTTAGAGACATGACAGGCCTTGCCATGTTCATTTGTTGGTTCATTTGTGGTCTTACATTCATGTAAACTTGTCTTTGGACGTCAACGGCTTGTGGCTGGTTTTGTACCTGTCTCTGTACATTCATTTGATTCTGTATCATCTGTGTGTTTGTTTGTATCTGTGTTGGGTTTGGTGTCGCTGTAATGTTTCTATCGTTAGGCTGTATACTTGGTTGAACAGACTGCACCATATTTGGCACAATGTTGGCTATTTGCATAGTTTGATTTGATGATTGGTGGTTTTGGGCCAACATGTGCTGTTGGAGTTGGAAGTTGGCGAAGTTTTGTTGGAGGTACAGTTGGTTCTGGTCTATCTGTGGTTGGACCTGGTGCACTACGTTGTTGGGCAGCTGTTGGACGTATACTACTGGGTTCGGTGCCGGCCTGTTCATCCATGGTGGTGGGTTCTGTGGGTTGATGAAGAAAGTCTGGTTTGGCTGGATCTGATCTCCTGGAACAATTTTATTACTATTTACGATCTGTATTGATTTGCTGCATTGAAGATATTAAATGTAGTTCATGTGTTTTATGTACGTTTTGAAAAGAGAGCTTTATTCTCTGCAAAGTAAGGTTTTATTTGAAATGTTGTGTTTTATATTCATGCCTTTAGGTCGGATTAAATATTGTTTGTTATCGGAAAATAAGTTTTATTCCAACTTTATTTAAGACAGAACTTCGTCTTTTTCTTCGCTTTTCAACAGCAAGAAGTTAATTGAAAACATACTTTATTCTCATAAGTATAAAGTTGTCGTTGTTTAATCAAAACTCACCAGGCTGGACCAGTACTTGTGTCTCATACACGAACCGAACCGGACACAGTACCATCTGCTGCTGCATTGCCTGCTGACCCCTGTTATACCAAGATTGAAGATAAAGACCACGATATAGAAAGAAAGAAAGAAAGATATATTAGCAAGAATTCTTTTTGCTATAGGCTAGGTCATTAAGCAAAAGCCTGATGGTAAGCAATCGATGCCACATATGGGTACCAAAAACAATAGTAAGTATTCCAGAAGTTTTGACGGATTTTGACGGTTTGCATGTATTTGGTTTTTTTTTATTGTCAGGGGAAAATCATCAAATGACTTCTCCTGCCAAGTGTCAGACTCTTACTGACTAAAAACCCCCCGTTCCTTCTACTCTTGGCCGAGGCCGCGGTGCCTCATTGGGCTTTGCGGTATCGTTAGATGAAGTATCGGTAGTGCTATGATAGATTTTACTACTTGGGTTCTAGTACCACTTGTGTAAAGAAAAATATTTAAATAAATATTTTTTAAGGGGATAATCATTAGTAAATGTCTTCGCTGAGGTAGTGTTGGACTCTTACTGACTAAAATCGACTCCTTTTCCTTCTTTTATTATAGGCCGAAGTCGCGAGAACTTATTTCGCTTGCCCCGCAGTTCTGGCTGAACATCCACTGTCTTAGGCCCCATTTGTGTTGGATCACCAGGACCGCTAAGGAGTGGCATTCTCCCGAGTCTGTGTTCCCCTAAGGGTATAACCTGGGTGTCTTCACGGCCCGAGTGAATAGGTTATTTTTGGGTTGCCTTGCTCCATCGTAGGTCGCATCATGCATCGCTTACAACCAGGTCAAATGCAAATATGCAATTCTATTACTAATAAAAGGAATAATTCTTACCCTATGGGCTCCGCCTGGTTCATTGGTTGCTGCATCTGTAAATAAACAAAATACAATTAGAAAACAATTGGCATACATTGATAGAAAAATATCGTGAAATAATCTGGACTTGAAGAGAAAATTATTCGTTTGTTAGGTTCAAAACTGAAAACATTTTGTTCAGAAACATTTAAACCGTATTTCGGAGTTTATTTCTGATTTGGAACAAATCACTATCTATACAATATCTTTTTTATATATAAAAATGGATCGCAAAATGTGTTGGTAAGCGCATAACTCAACAACGCCTGGACCAATTTTGATAATTATTTTTTTGTTGTGTTTGGTATTATCAGAAGAAGGTTCTTAGCAAAGAAAATATTAGAATAGTAGAGATTAGGAAAAAGTGACCCTTTGATAGCGAGATAGTTGGACCCGTGCGAAGCGGGGGCGGGCCGCTAGTTCTTATATAAATCTATGCCACTTTTCTTTGTTATGTTATAACTCAACAATGGCTTTACCGATTTGGCTAATTTTTGTCTTGAATTATTCGTGGAAATTCAGAGAAGTTTTGTACGTAGAGACAAATTTAAAAAAATCTTGAAAATGGTATAAGTTAAAGTCGCTTTTCCCGTCCCTATATCCGTATGCATGCTTAAATCTTTTAAACTACGCAATGCACTTTGATGCGGTTTATGTTAATAGATAGAGTGATTGAAGAGGAAGGTTTATATGTATAAAAACATCCATTAGATACTGGAGAAATATAGTATCCGCATTACACCCGTGCGAAGCCGGGGCGGGTCAATAAAAATTAATTGCGTTACTTGATATCTACCTAAGTATATCTTAGCAACAATATAATTGTGTTAAAATATTCAAAATCAAGAAAAAATATCTTAACTTATTCATTTATTTTTCTTCATGCAAAAAAAAAATATCTACATTAGGCGGACTTAATGCCTTGAGCATTCACTACCAGTCAACCTTGCCGGGGTTGCGGGGTAAGCGCAATGAGGCACCGCGGCCTCGGCCCAGACCAGGAGATGGAATGGAAGGTTTTTAGTCAGTAAGAGTCTGTCACTCCCCCACCCTGGGCGGGAGAAGACATTTAATGATTTTCCCTTCACCAAAAAATAACCAGTCAACCTTTGGGTGATGCAGTGACAATCTAGTGGTAAATGTATAGATGTAAGAAGCAAGGCAGCATTTATTGCAATTAAACCTAAAAAAATGTTGTCGTGTATAGGTTTTGAACGTATGACCTCGAGACGGCGCAATAACAACTGGTTGCGCGTGCGCACCCCTAACCACAATAAGTCATAACGCAGCTGTATTCCGAGCAGCGAAACAATTATTATAATAACATTATTTTATTTGTATTTGTATATTACAAAATGCATACATTTGTCTTTTTATACGCATCTAGACGTTGTATGGGCATGAAGGTATTTTCATTTTTAAGGGGGAAATCGGCTATATATCATACCTACTAGCTTTTGCTAGCGACTCCGTTCGCTTCGAATAGTGACTTCCTGCAGATTTTTGGTTTAAAAACTATCCTATGTCCTTTTTCAAGTTCCAAACGATATTTGTACCAAATTTCACAGAAATCTGTTCAGTAGTTTAGGCGTGAAGAAAAGACAGGCAGACAGAGTTGCTTTCAAAATTATAATATTAGTATAGATAGTATAGATTTACCGGAGACCGGAGCGATACCACGGCCTCACAGAAAACCGGCGCAAAACAACCACAGCGTTGTGTTTTGCCATGTAAATGAGGTTACTGAAGTCCTTATCATCCACAATCCCTAAATCTCAAAATCCCTAACCTCCAAAAGGTCGGTAACGCACTCGTAACTCCTCTAAAGTAAAGTTTTCATTGCATGTCCTTGTGAGGTTACTGAAGGTCCGATCCTTCCTCCGACCCCGAATCCACTTAAGCCCTAAAAGACCAAGGCTAGTAAAGCACTTGTAATGAAACAATGAAACAATGAATTTATTTTTGCAAATAGGCCATAAAACGGCACTTTTACACGTCAATTTATATGTGAAAAACTAGATGAAGCTCTAATCTAATAATAGCTCTGGTATATTCATCGTTCAATGTTTCATTGAAACTATGAAACTTTGCAACAATGATACAATGAAACAATGAAACAATGAAACATTGAAACTATGAAAGAATGAAGCATTGAAACTATGAAAGAATGAAGCTATGAAACAATGAAACATAGAAACTATGATGCAATAAAATAATTAAACAAAGAAACTTTGAAATAATTAAGCTATCAAACAATGATACTTCGAAACATTGAAACAATGAAATGTTGAAATATGAAACAAACAAAAAAATACTCATCATCATCATCATCAGCCTATAAGTGCCCACTGCTGAGCAAAGGCCTCTTCTCACACGGAGAAGGTTTGAGCATAAATCACCACGCTTGCTCAATGCGGATTGGCGATTTCAAACTTATAAGTCCAGGTTTCCTCACGATGTTTACCTTCACCGTATGTCAGTGGTGTCTAAATAATCATAGAAAGTACATATAACTCGGAAAAAGTCACATTGGTACTTGCCAGGTTTCGAAACCACACCCTTGTGCATGAGAAGCGGGCTGCTCAACCTCCGGGCCACCAAGACGACAAAAAAAATAAAGAAAAAAAAATACTCATATGTAATGAAATAATCAAACATTGAAACGATTGTCCATTGGACGCCCCGTTTGCTTACCATCAGGTAATCCGTCTGTTCGTTTGTTACACACATACATAAAAACGCATAATAATGTGGGGATCAAGGGTTCGCAGGATATTAAAAATACTTCGTTTTGTGTAGGAAAAATCTTAATAATCGTGTATTTGTCAATTCGTCGTGGTTAAAACAAAAAAATCGTGTCTGTCCTGTCATTCGTCTCATTACCTTCCTTTTTCGGAAATCGCTCTATCTCACTCGCTCATTCATTCTCTCTTACTTCCACACATTCGTTTGGAAACTAGCATTACCTTACACACATCTCACTCGTTCGGAACTATTCACATCCCACATTCACTCGTTCGGAAATATTCACATCCCACAATAATAATATTACTCCGTATGGTTTAGATATGTGTAGCGGAAAATGAGTTACCTATATATAGTAGTACCTAGTACCTAGGTGCCAGTGTGAGTGGTTTTCCTCACATACAATTAAGACAAAATTAATTGGGTGTGGATGTTTTTGTGTGTAGATAGCCTTTTGTGTTATTTAAGGCGATAACTAGGGTTGAGTTTAGCGTCGACCAAATTGGGTTTTTCTATGTCGGGTTTTCCTGAGCAAATATAAAGTTTGTTTGAAAATGGAATATACTAACTTTTACTAGGTTCTAGGTAAGAATAGCTTACTAGGTAAACCTTAATATGAAGTAATGTCAATAAAAAATATACTTGCACATTTCTCTATTCTAGACGTACTTTCTTTACTTCACTACAATTTCTCTATTTCCGTTTAGATAAAAAAATGGCATCTTAATAATGTCTTTAATTTAGTCAGGTTGCCAGCGTACCTAATCATGTAGGTACTGCGGCCTCGACCTGGACCAAGAGAAGGAACACCATGGTATTAAGTCAGTAAGAGTACACCTCTTTCCATACCCTGGACGAGAGAATTCATTCGATGATTTCCACGCTACAAATCGACTCCGTAAGCACGGATCTGCTGGATGACGAGCAAGGGTACCTCGTTAACTAGAACCAGACCCGAGCGCATTCAAAGATCCACGTCACTTTGGCTGATGTTCAGCCAGGGTTGCGAGTACAAACGCAACGAGGTACGGCCCCGGCTCGAAGCAGAAGGAAGAGACGGGGTGGTTTTTAGTCAGTAAGAGTCGGAGAAGTCATTTGAAGACATTCTCAACAACAAACACGTATACATAAATATTTCATACCAAAAAAATCTGTATTTTTTTTCAACGGTAGGTACCTAATAAAAAAAGATTTAATCCAATTAAACTCTAGCATCAGTCAGTCAATTTGTTCGTCAGTGAAGCTAGGAGCTCTTACTAAAGTATAGACTCGAATGGATAAGGGCAAGGAAGAAATGCTATAGATTTATCTGGTACATAGATTAGATGAGGAAGGACATTGTAAAACAAATCAACACTTTAAAAATTTGCGTTGATATTACGTAGGTGAGCTCGGGAGATTACCTACAGACGCGGGACGTAATATCGTTAGGGGAGACAGGGGCTGGTTGCATGCATGGTCGATATTTTAGTGAATTTAATAATTAAAATGTAGTATGTATGTGTATAACGTGCAAGTATGATTAGGTACAAAAGAGAGGGAGGACCTCTTGTTCGAGTAAAAGTTTTATGTAAAGGTTTTTATATATTTTGACGGTTCAAAAGAACCTACCTACTCAGAAGTAATCCTTTTGACTTTGAGCATGACTTTGATGAAAAAAATGGAAACCATAAAACAACGATAATTATGTTCATCTGTAGGTCATTTCCAATTTATTTATTTTTGTCAAAAACACCCTTTTAGAAAACTCAGAAATTATAACCCTTGTAGTTTAATCAATTTCATTATGGATACTTAAAAATTCATCAAATCGGTAAACAAAGAAAGGTCGCCTACTTTACCCTACACATCATCAACCGGAAGACGTCCACTGCTGAACAAAGACCTACCCTAAACAAGCACACTACGGTGAAAACAATACAAAATTAAATGCTAAACTCATTGTAACTTAATTACCAACCAATAACATTTACCGCGACCCTAAGTGAAGCGAAGTGTGGGAGAGCCAAGCTTCGGCACGAATGGTTCAACTCGACCGAAGTGATACCACGGCCTCATAGAATACCGGCGTGGAACAACAGTGTTGTGTTTCGCCGTGTGAATGAGGTGACCGGAGGCCAATCCCTTCCCTTTCCCTGTCCCTGTGTTTGGAACTGTCATGTGGCAGAGCCTAGCTTCGCAGTACGGATGGATCGGTGTGAGTGACACCACGGCTTCACAGAAAACCGGCGTGAAACAACCATAGCGTGACGTGTGAGTGAGGTTATCT